CCCGCGGGCTGCACGCCTTCCTCGCAGCGCTTCTTTCGGGGCTCCTACTGGTGCTCTCTTGCTTGGGGGGTCGGCGGCGGCGGGCAGGAGCGCCTCTGGGAGGGTCTGGCTTCAAGGGGGCCACCCCTCTCCCGCTGGCGCGCAGTCCGTTTGCCCCGCGGGAGTCTTGGCGGCGCGCTGCGCGGACGGCGCCGGTGGCGGGCACCTTCGGGCTGCTGAGCGGAGCCCTGCAAGGCTATGAGGTGCTGCACGCCCTGGGCTACGGCGGCCAGCCTGGCCTCGAGGGGCCCTGGCCCTGGTGGGCCTTCCAGCTGGGCCTGCGCCTGGGAGAGGTGGGTGTCGCGCTCCCGTTGGCGCTGCTGGGCCTCTATCCTGCGCTCTGCAGCCCTCGAGTTCCGCCGCGCTGCTGGGCCAAGCTCTTTCGCCTTTCCCCTGGACACGCTGCCCCTCTGCTGCCCGGAGGCTGGGTCACCGGGCCCCAGGACAAGGAACCTCTGGGTAGCGCCATCGCCCGCCGGGACGCTGAGCTGCTGCAGCTGTGTGCCCTGGCAGGGCCAGGCCCTGACCTCCTACTCCAGGGAGGGGCCTGTCGGGGCCTGGACAGTGCGGTGGCCAACCTGGCCCCTTCTTCAGCCTCCTCCCCCTGTAGCGATTACACCGTGGACTTCCACCCGCCCTCCCCAATTAACCTTCGGCGCAGCATCGAGGAAGCCCTTTGCAGCGAGGCCCTGCTGCCCGGCCTTTTCCAGGGTCCTGCCTTTGGGGAAGCCCTTCCTGGCCTCGGTCTCTACCGCACAGCCTCTCTGGGGGACCAGGAGGCTGCCGGCCCCAGTGGGAGGTCTGAGGAGGTGCCTGCTTCCTCCATACTCCCACTCCCGGAGCTTCCTTCTCCTGAGGCCTGGCCAGTGGGCAGCAGCGCTTCCTCTGGCTCACTGTGTGGACTCTCCCGGGACAGCTCATCCATGCTGCTGTGTTCCAGCCCAGACAGGCCTCCCCGCTGTCCACTGGTCTGCGTCCTCAGTCCGCCTCGGCCCTCAGGAAGCAGCCCAAACCTTCCAGCCTCTGGATCCTACCAGGCCCTGTCCCCACCGTCTCGCGACTCCCCAGAGCCTGCTCCCGAGCTGCAGGCTGAAGAGGCCTTCCTGCAGGAACAATTCTTGGATGCCTGCCGACAGATTGACGAGCTGAGCATGGGCAGCGACACCATAGATCTGTGAAGAGGTGGCCCTCTCTCACTACCTGGGCCATACATGTCCTGTCAGGCGCCTGCTCTGCCCAAGACCTGAACACTGTAACCCGTTCCCAATCCTGCCTGGCTCAGATACCTCTCCTGGCTTCCTTCCCATCCAGAGGTCCCTGGGTGGGTAGGTCAGGAGCCTGGCTCTGTTGATTGGGTCATAGCCCCACCTTCTCTGGAGCCCTGGGCACCGATTCCCTCAGCTGCAGGTCTAGGCTGGCCAGGGTCTCTCTTCCCTTGGCATTCACCAGCAATAAAGCTCCAAGGTGCTCCACTCCGGACCACTCCCCACCTGGTGCTGAGTGAGAGGGGCTGTCCTCACAAGAGCTTGGCCTCAGTCCCTATACCCACCTCTGCCTTACCCAGGAACCTCACCCCTCGGGAGTGAGACTCCCCACCCTCTAAGTGCCCCTTCCCCACAGAAGGGTTCTTGGCCTGTATAGGAGACGTCACAGCAGTTGGGTGGGAGATGAGCGCTTTCAGAGTTAATTTATCAATAAAATATTTTCAGAGGAGAAAGGTCTGACCTTCTTGGAAAAGCTTAGCTGGGGCAGTAGCAGCCGCAATTTTGCCAGATTTGGAAAGGGAAGCAGCACTTGGATGAGGTGGGTCCCTCGGACCACAGAGGCCAGGCTCCTGACTGCTGGGAGTTTGCGCTGTGACTGGGATGAGTGGATCCTGGGGGAAGCCTCTGGAAGCCCACTTCCTGCTTCAGGATGGAGCACAGTCCTGGGAGGTGAGGCAGGAAGTCAAGTCATTGGTAGAAATGTCCAAGAACTGGGTTTCAGGTCCCCATGGGCAGCTGACTAGGGGCCAGTTAAATACCTCGAAGAAACTGCTGATACACATGTCAAAGGCTTGTTCATGTTGAGCTGGGATCCCTGCAATCCCCTGCTGTGTCCCACCAGTTTGAAATTTCCCTCTTCCACTGCCAGCAGAACCTCTTCAGGAGTAGGAGCCCATTCCTTCCCCTGTAGAACATTCGTCTCCCTTAGGTGCAGGGGGGGAGAGCCTGGCCCCCAATCCCATCCTACCTAGCAATGCAGAACTCAGTGCAGATAACCATGAGCACATCACTGCAGGTGCTCTGTCCAGGGCTTTTGGCTGCGAGCGCCGTATTACGCATTGTCACTTGACTAAAGTGCAGTACCGTACAGCGTAGCACCAGAGCGGGAGCCCAGAGTAAGTTTGAAAATGAAACTCCATATTGGCAGTTGTCCCGCTCACCACAGGGAGACATACAGGGACACACACACAGAGCCTAAAGTGGAAAAACAGGAATTGGAGCGGTTTTTCTCCCAACTCTGCCCATTCAGTTCACAGAGATTTGAGAAGGGAGGCCAGGGAGCCAAGAGGGAAGTAACCTTGGAGGCCAAGGTGGGGGCAAGAGGGAGTGACTCAGCCCGCCCAGGGCCCTTGGTCTAGTGAGAGAGTTAGAGCCTCTGCGGTTGCACAGGAAGCTCTGTCATGGCTGAAGAGGAGCATCCAGGGCCCCGGACCTTACAAAAGAAAAGGAATCAGTGATGCGGGGAAGAGAAATGGGGGGCTGGTACAGGCATGGCTGAGGGATGGGACTGGAGTGGTTCCGACCATCTCCTCCATCACCTGGCTCAGCTTGGCCAGAAATTCTTGATGCATAGTTACTCTGGGCTGAGGCCCAGAGAACTGCCAGCCTCCTAATTATGGGCATTTCTCACTGGTGTCGTAGTGGCTGGAGCAGTCCAATGATGGGAGCTGCTTTGTGTCATAGGAGAGCTTGCTGTCCTTACAAATGGCGAATGGCTCCCTTTCTTTCTTACATCCCTTTCCATCTGTTGCTCATCTACTCCTACCCCAACTCTTCTGCTTTTTGCCATCTCTTCCCCACCCAAATCCTTGCCAGCTGCTGTCACTCATTCACTTTTCCCATCAAGGGTCTTGGGGACACACACGTCCCCACAAATAGCCCAAGCCCCATGTACTTTCAGTCTCTCTTCTCTCTCTCTCTCTCTCTCTCTCACACACACACACACACACACACACACACACACACTCCTTTTCTCTCTGGAAGCTCTGATGGGACTGGTGAATTGGGAGAAGGGCAGTGCTCTCCAGCTCCAACCTTTCTTTGATTTTCCACAGCAAGAATCTCCTCTGTTATGACTTTATAAAACAAGCTGCTTAAAAAAAAGATTTATTTATTATGCACAGAAGAATGGGGTACAGCCCCGGGGTTGGGGGAAGAGAGGATGCACCAGACACAGAGTGGGGAGCAGAACAGGTGGATCTACTGAAACACACTGCTGAGGGGAGCAGAGGGCAGGGCAAGAGAGGAGAGGTCTGCTGCGCCATGTGGATCACCACCCTGGTGGGGGATCGAACTCGTGTTGTGGTGGCTGTGGATAGCTTCATAGTGCTGTGCTTTATTAATATTTTTAAAATAACATAATAGTTTATTTTTACATCATTTTGTGCCTTTTTCCATCTCAGTTGTAATCCCCATGGGCTTCCCATCACCAAATCACCTGTGTGCCATCACCATAGTCCAGTCCCATAGTGCTGCGCTTTAACTCAATGACCACCAGGGAGAGCACTGTTATGACTTTATAAAAAGGCCTAAAAGTTGAGACAACCCTACTCTTGTCTCAAGCTGCCATCCTTCCCCAAAGCAGGCCCCCCCCCTCCCCAGCCCCGGTAGGATCTAATACATACACACTTCGGTTCCAACTTTTAATACTGAAGGGAACAAGAGACACTCACTCCCATTTGCTCATCTTCTTCAACATATTTTATTGAATATTTGCAATGTGCTAGGTGTTGGGGATAAAGAAGTGAACAGGCAGACAGTAGCCTCAAACTAATGAAATTGCAAGGCGTCTGTGGAAGACAGTAAACAACTAATCACGTAAATAATTGCAGTAAAACAAAGGTAACAATTACAGTTGTAAGAATCACATGTATGGGGTGTGACAAGGTTTGGCTTGCAAGGGTCGTGGAATCAGGGAGAAGACTTGGGAAATGCTGCTGCTGTGCCGAGCCCAGGCCTCCCTGGTTTCCTGTTGTTCCTGCACCATGATGGATGAGGGACAGGCTGGCAGTTTATTTCCCCTGGAAGCTATGTCTCGGGTATGGTGAAGAGGACCATGACTCCTGCTATTTAATAAAGAACTCTGCGTGTGTCCGGGTAGATGGATGAGCAAGTATTTCGCATAGAAGAACCACCTGGCCTCCCTGATATAAACAGCGATGTGGGGATGGGTCAGACTGGGGCTGAGTGAGGCTGGAGACTGAAAGGAGAAGTCAGACCCGAAGTTGTTAATTGTAGAAAGGGTCAGCTGCCTGGTAATCCTCCCCTAGGGGCTTAGAGCTTTTCCACACTGTGGGCAACTGCTGCCCCCTGATGGGCATTCAAACAGAGTTTTGTTTTGTCTTTTAAAAAAGCTTGGGATCCAAAGTATGTAAAACAGCATTTGCAGGGGGCTCTAAAGAAAACCGTCTCAGGGTTTTCCTTTCAGTCCCGTACACAATGCAGCCAAGACCGAGAAGTCTTCTCTATAGCCCTGAAATTTGCCATTGAATCTTTGGGGGTAGAATTTTATTTTATTTTATTTTTAATTTAAGTATATCCTCTTTTACATCATTGTTAGTCTTTTGGAAGTATAGGATTTCCCCTTCAAGTGTACCGCACCCATCACCAAAACACCCATCATTCTCCACTACAGTCTATTATGCTTTCTCCCTCCCCTCCAGAATTTTGATTTCTAAGGCGGCAGAGTACTTGCAAAGAGGAGAAAAAAAGCGGGAGGAATGTGAAGTTCCAAGCCAACTTTATTCGAATGACACATCTCATTTCCTTTGTCTGTTTGTCTCTTTATTCTGGATAGGATTAACTCCATAAGTTTAAAAATCTGTCTTGTATTTCAATACCTCTTCTGAGGCAGTTTAAAAATAACTGTGGCATTTTCTTTCAAGCATTTATTGCTTAAGAGTTAGGGCTTCATGAATCTGATGTTTAGCCTTCTCCTTGAAAAATCCTCATCACTTAACTAATCATCCACCTACCCGAAATGTATTGAAAGTGGATGGAATTTGAGAAGAAATTCACTGTCCTCTTTGAATTTTCTACCTACCATGTGATCAGGTTACTATCATTAAAATATTTTAAAAATATATATTGTGTACTTTTTACCAGCTGGATGTTCTGCAGGGTGCTGAAGTCTTTGTTTTATCAGGTTTGGGAGCTCCTCAGTACTAACTTCCAAGAAGCAGTAGGGTTTCACTTGTGACTCAAGCCAAATGCATATAACATGAATTTATTGGGAGAAGTTACATTACAATAATGTAAGAATAGAATTAAATCAGCAGCAAGAAAAGAGGGGAAGATAAGAAATGTCTTGACAAAGTTAGGAGACTAGCAATGTAGAGTAGGTGGGACCCCAGACCAGACAGCTCCTGGAATATTTTCCTTTGAAA